GCTCGGGGGTGGACAGAACCCCCAATAGTGAATTGTCCGTTTTCGGTTTTCGAGAGGGCGCCGTGGCCGTTATTTTCCAGGCTTGCGCCCGCCAGGTTTGGGCCCGAAGTCGTTTTCACTAAACCACGTTTTACTAAAGGGAGGTCTGTCCATCCCCGATAAGCGAGATTTTCTCCTCGCCGACGGCGCCGATGCATCGCGGACGTCGCCGAGGCACCACTTTCACGCGCGGAGGGGGCTGGGGGGGGATTGGCTTCTTAGGAGCAACCCTGCTTCTTAGAAGGCGCGGGCCGCATCTACAGATGCAAGGCCGGCGCCTTCTAAGAAGCAGCCTTCTTTTGAGAAGCCCTCCCCCCTCCCTCCACCCCCATTGCGCGCACCGCCAAGACGTCGCCGATGCTCCGGCGTTGCGGCGCCGTCTTCTGGTCTCATTTGCTCCGGCTCACTCGGGAGAGGCCTCCGCCGACCTGGCTCGCAACAGTGCAGCAGAAGAAGGCGGGGGTCGAGATCGAGGGCTCGGGCCGCTTCTCCTGTGCCGGGCGGAGGCGTGGCTTCCCACGGCGTCGGGCCTCGGGCAGTACATCTCCTGCCCTTCTCCGCCCCCTCCTCCGCTCCCGCTCGTCTCCCATCCCCCCTCTCCGTGCGCCCCCACCCCGGTCCTCCGCTCCTCCTCGGCCCGCCCCCCCCCCCCCCTCCGACGCCAGTCTCCCTGGGCCTCCCAGAGGGGGCCGGAGCAGATGGGGTCGAAGGATCTCGCCGCATCGGCGATGCATCGGCGATGCGGCTCGATGCGGAGCCCGACTTTCGCCACGCCGACGTCGCCGATGCATCGCCGGCGCCGCCAGTGCATGGCCAACGCGTCGCCGAGGTGGCGCGATCCTTCGGCCCCTCCAGGAGGCTTGTACAGTGCCGTTTTTCATACATGCTCCGCGTGCGGATCATGTATCGAAAATGCATGGATTTTTGCATTAAAAACAACGATGAGTTCATGCATACATTCATTCATAAATTAATCATGTATTATAACTCCTATATGTTTGAAAATGCTATGTATAATAATAATAATAATACTAATAATAATAATAATAATAATAATAATAATAATAATAATAAAAAAACGTGCTCTGTCGTCTGTCCTTTACCTCGGCGCGCGGCGAGGAGGAACTGCCGCACGGCACCGCTTTTCTCTCCTGCTCGGGGAGCAGCGAGTCTATCAATGGCACGCCGCCGTGGGGGGGCCATCATCAGCGTGTTTTCGGCCGAGGATGCACCAGGTTTTTCGGAGCGGTGCCGTGCCGTTGATACGCTGCCCTCTCCGGGCATGATCATTAAGTCGGGCCTGTCCCCCTACAGGGGTTTTTCTTGACGAAGGATAAAACATACCCCGACCAATAGTCAAACAATAGTCAAACAGAAGTCTGGGGATCATTTTTGGAGTATTTGTTGATCTTCTTGGGGTATGTTTGGGGTATTTTTTAACTTTCGTCGAAAATCCCCCTGTAGGGGGACACGCCCGACATGACATTTATCAGAGCTGGCACGTCACGGAGACAGGTAGAGGCGGGGGGCAATCGCGCCTTCGCTGCCCGCCTATGAGGACTCCCGGCTGCGCACAGACAGCACCCCTATAGGTTGTTCCAGCTGGCCTCAAGAGGAGTAGTCTAGGACGGTCTCAACACCTCAACCTTGGGGTGTGGAGAGCGCCAGGAGCGCCGCCGGATGCTGCGCCAGGGCTGGAGGATTGTGGAGGCCAGCTGGAACTACCTAAGGGGGCTGTCTGCGCGGCAAGCCCCCCTTCTTCGCCGTGGGAAGGAAGAGACTCAGGAGGGGAACAAAAACACACAGACACAGTTAATCGTCGACTCCCAGGAAAATATGGGAAAACATGTGAAGTGGGGGGGAAGACAAAAAACCAGAAAATATAGGAGAATATGGGGAATCCTGTTATCTGTGTGTGTAGTTGTGTGTCCCAGGGCCCCTTCAGAGACCCCGATAGACAGTGTCTCGAGGCCTTGCGCCGTCTCGGGGCCCCCCCTGCCTCCACACAGAGGCGCCTCTCATGGGCAAGTCCTGGCAGCCCAGGGGGGTCCGGAACCGTCTCTTGCCCCGAACCCCCTATGATTCCTCTCTAGGCTTATGATGTTCCAACCTACTTCATCAGCCCTGATCACCAGAAATAATTTCGAGCACCACAAAAAGTACCGAAATTCTATGGTTTTCACGTGTCGGGCCCTGGTAGACACTCGCCCGACACTGTTTCGACACTGTTTCGATACTCTTTTGACATTTTTCGGGGTGCTCGAAATTATTTCCGGGATGTGGTCCGTAAGCAGGATGGGAGCAACATAAGTCTAGGCCTCCTAGATGTGGTCGGAGTAAATGGGGTCGGAGGATCGCGCCGCATCGCCGATGCGGCTCGATGTGGGGCTCGATTTGTTCCACGCCGACGTCGATCGCCGACGTCACCGGTGCATGGCTCGTGGCCGATGCACCGCCGTTGTATCGGCGATGCGGCGGGATCCCCCGGCCCCACCTGCGCGGATCCCATCTGGGAGGTCGTCTATCCTCGTGGCGCAGCGCCGACGTGGATGTCCCAAGGGAGGGCAGCGTTGCCGCGCCACTCTGGCGCCTGGCCCTCTGCCTCTCGTCCGGGCCAGGGTCTGGAGTCGGGCGCTCCCCTCCCTGCGCCCACCCACGGCAGCGCTGCACCCGAGCTCCGGCGAGCTCGATCCTCCCCGATCCTCGATCCTCCTCGACCCTCGATCCTTCTCGGCCCTCGATCCTCCTCGGTCCTTGACCCTCGAGATCCTCCAGCCCTCCTCCATCCTCCCCGATCCCCGATCCCCGATGCCTCCCCGATCCCCGATGCCCTTTCTGTCCCTTCCCTGCGCCCACCCACGGCAGCCCTGCACCCCCAGCGCAGTCAGCTGCCGCCCTCCTGGCACCACAGACCTCGGGCGTCACGAGTTGTGCCATACAGTCGGGGCCCTTCAGAAGGAACGCTTTTCGTTGGGGAGGGGCTCGGTGTTCCTTGATTGTTTTACAGTTTGCCTCTGGTTTCCCTCAGGTCCCCCATGGGAAATCGAAGTTTCACTTATGGAAAAGAGGGGCCTTGTTCCTTATTCAGGGTTCCTCAGGTCAACGCCCCGACTGTAGCCCTGTTAGATGCTCGTTTGGGGGATCTTCTTGGGGCTCACCTAACAGATCTGTTCGACCCCATGCTCGGCTCGGGTCCGATTCAAGGCCGGCTCAAGGTCGGCTCAAGCTCGCCTCATGCTCGACTCGGGGTCGACTCGAGTCGACCGACGTGCGACGCAGCTTCAGCGCAGGAGTGGAGCGAGTGGCTCTCCAGGAAGGTCCCCAGGATGAGAATCCGGGCCCTGGCGCTTCGTTTCCGCGTCGTCCTTCGCAGGGCCGCTTGCGGGCGCAGGGCCTCTGCCCGATCCCCGGCGCGGCAGCTGGTCCCAGCCGGGAAGGGATCCTTCCAGGGGAGACCCGTACCCAGAAACACCCTGCTTGCCTGCAGAGTGCCCTGGGTTTCCTGGGGTTCGATGGTTTTGCGATGGAAAGCGTGACGCCTCCACACCAGAACTCGATGTACGTCCTGGGGTCTCGGGGCTGGGCGGCTTCTTGTGGAAGGTTTCTTGTGGACAGGCCTCCACTGTAGATCTGAGGGCGCGCCTTCTGAGTTCGCTGGGAGGAGGTCCAGGGGGGGGGGGGAGGGGGGGTCCAGAACCCTTCTCCAGAATGAAAGTCGGGTGGGTTCGACGACGAGGACGAGGGCGAGGACGAGGACCAGTCCACGACGGCGACGACGACGACAGCAAGCACGACGCGTCCAGCCCGCCCGCTCGACCGACTCGCCGCCCGCGATGGCAGCGACGCCGTGCCCCGCCCTCCGGCCAGACCGACTGCCCCCCGCCCGCGATAGCGACGATCCCGACGACGACAGCGACGATCACGACTACTACGACGACTGATACGACGACGATGACGACGACGACAACGACGACGACGACAACTGCGACGACGACGACGATTGCGACGACGACGACGACGACGACGACGACGACGGCGGCGGCGGCGGCGGCCACGGCGGCAGCGACGAGGACGAGGACGACCACGACGGCAACGACGACGACGTGTCCCGCCGCCCGCCCGACTGCCCACGGCTACGACGTGTCCTGCCCGCCCGACCGACAGAATCGCCAGAAAAAACAACGACGACGACGGCGCTGACGACGTGTCGAGCCCGCCCGAGCGACTCGCCGACGGGGATGACGACGACGACGACGACGACGACGACGACGACGACGACGATGCCGGCCGCGAGGGGGGAAGTTAACCTCTTCCCGCCGACTTCTGAAGTCGACTGGACGTAAGAGTGACCCTTCGCCGGAGTGACCTTTGGTGCGGGCTCAATGGGATCCCCCGATCGCCGAACGCGAGGCGGCAGTGGCGTCTTTCGCGCTTGTGGTTGGACCACCCCCGCGGCCCCCAAAAAGCCGAGCACCAAAGGCCACTCTTACCCAGGGTCACTCTTGTGTGTAGTCGATGAAGGGGGTGGGGGGGGTTGGGTGGGGGCGCGCCTGGAACCCCACGGTTCCCTGCTGAGCCCGTTCGGCGTCCGAGCCCATTCGGCCGCCAAATGTGCAGCCGAGGCTCAGTTCTGGCAGGGTCTGCGGGATGGAGCCCATTCTGCTACCGAATGGGCTCGATCGTGAGTTCACCCGGCGGCCGAGTGAGGTCCGGCGTCGGACGGGCTCAGAAGGGAACCCCGGGGGACGAGGGGGAGGGGCCGGAGAAGGGGGGAATTTCCAAGGTGGGGGGCGGGCGGTTCCAGAACGGGGGAGGCGGGACTTTGCACCAGTGAAGTATACACGGAAGGCGCTCTCTCAGAGATTCGGGGGTCACGGCATCGGAGGTTGGGGCTCCCGCGCATAGCCCGCCGACTACCTGCATTCGGCGAGCCAGGGACCCAGATAGCCCTGGAGCGCGCA